ATCGAGACGAAGGGAAAAGTGAGAAAGGGGTGGAGAGAGAGAGCGAGAGAGACAGAGGGAAGAGTGAGAAAAGGGTGGAGAGAGAGAGAGAGAGAGAGAGAAAGAAAGAGAAACATAGGGGGCTGGAATTAGAGGAAAGACGATAAGAGAGGAGGCGCTAGAGGACAGAGAGAGAGAGAGAGAGAGAGAGAGAGAGAGAGAGCCCGCAGAGACACAGAGGGAGAGAGAGAGAGAGAGAGAGAGAGAGGGGAGGGGAGGAAAGGAAGTGAGCGACTCAACAATGATCACACTAAATAATCGTACGTACCACTATCTGTTGCATGCCGGGTTGTTGGGGGGCATACTGTACACCAGGCTGTTGACTGTACGGCATCCCTGGTTGCTGTTGACTGTACGGCATCCCTGGTTGCTGTGGGGGATACGGCATCCCTGGTTGCTGTGGGGAATACGGCATCCCTGGTTGTTGTTGTTGTTGTTGTTGTTGCGGGGCGTAGGGATCGTCACGTGGGTACTCCTCCTGCGGTTGGCGCACGTACGGAACCTCTGTAACACGCGCGCAAGCAAAGACCTCGTGAAAAATTCTCGACGACTCGAACTCTATAGTCCATCTAGCTCTGTAAGTGGAGCTCCTGTGCTCCAACTACAGGACCGGTAGAGTTACATAGTCCANGTTGTACACCACATGGAACTCACCTTGCTGGAGTAGACGATCGCAGCGATACCTAGGGGCCAACAGCAGCACAAACAGTTGAGAATGGACCAAACCATGTAGGTCGGCGGGGGTGGCGACTGCACAATCTATAAACATTAATATAATAGTCATTAATAAACGCGTGTCAGTACGGACGAAAACGTGAGACAAGTGAGTGAGTGAGTGAGTGAGTGAATGTGTGAGTGAATGAGTGAGTGTATAGTGACTGAACAACCTGAAAATAGGAATAAATACATGTTAATTAATACGCGTGAGACCATAATATGAGGGAAGAGTGAGCGAGAGAGAGAGAGAGAGAGAGAGAGAGAGAGAGAGAGAGAGAGAGAGAGAGAGAGAGAGAGAGAGAGAGAGAGAGAGAGAGAGAGAGAGAG